TAATTAACAGTTCCATAGCCCCCTTTTTGCTTATAACAGGATACTGTTGTTGATGCTGGGAAATTTGATGGTTCATTAGGCATCATTTCTGTGTTAGCTGCATTGAAGGTTTTGAATATCAATGGGAAGTTGGGAGAACTAAGCCGGCCAGTTGAGGTCAGTGAATGATGGAGGCTTTAATGGAAAGATACCATTGCATTATTGAAACATTTTTGAGAAGTTTCTTGTGAAACTTTTTCTGCTATGTGATTATATTGCTTGAACAGAGGTTCCTTTGAAAATATGCCATTTCTCATTTGAGCAAATGTTAATACGATTGTGATTAGGGAAAAACATGTTTATGAAGTTTCAGTTAACTTTCATCATTAACTCTGTTTTCCAATTTGCGGCCATTCTTTTCAAAATAAAGTAAAGAGAAACATAATTGGTTCAGTGAATTCCAAGGGTGGTGAAGTCTTGCAATTATGTAAGGGAAAAGAAAGAGTAATTTTTCCCTTAGTGTTTCACAGTATGTAAGAGAAGTATAAATTTCTTCCATTTGTGGTGGCTATGCCCTCTACTTATATGTTTCATGTTATTTCTGTTTTCCAACATTGCAGGTAATAGCATTTAGTGATGAAGAAGGAGTAAGGTTTCAGTCTACATTCTTGGGCAGTGCTGCTGTAGCCGGAATTTTGCCAGTTTCAGCACTTAAAATAACCGATAAAAGGTTTCCTTGGATAAATCCCATCATTTATCTGTTTGCAACACTACTCATTAGCAATGTGTTTATGTGTAATCCTTGTACAGTGATGTAACAATTCAAGTTGCTCTTAAGAAGAACTCCATAGAAATTACAGAGGAGAACTTGTTGCAGCTCAAATATGACCCGAAGTCGGTCTGGGGTTATGTTGAGGTATGATGGCCTATAGACAAGCCTGTATTAGAGTATCCTCTCTGAAAACAACAATAAAACTCAGCACCATGAACTTGTAAGTTGTTTTAAATTTCTGACTTCATGCCTTGCAATTGGTTCATGTTGCAGATTCATATTGAACAAGGACCTGTACTAGAATGGGTTGGCTTTCCTCTAGCAGTGGTTAAAGGCATAGCTGGACAGACACGACTAAAGGTATATGAAGTGTTTCAGCTTGCATAGTTGCATGTCTAAATTATGGTTCATTTGATTCACAAAAAGATGAAATTGTTTCGTAGTTCAGAATTTTATTATGCAGCTGCAGATTATTTTCTTCATTTGTAAAATATTCAAAATGGGGATAATAATAAGATAAATAGCATAAATCTCATGATCTACATGTATTTCCATAACTCAGATAAGGGTAAAATTTATAGCAGATCCCAGTCAGTACAAGATCCATACGATGGCTCTTTACATGTAATTTTTGGACTCTGTTTCATCATGGATACCTTATTGTCTAAGCTAGCACTTTAACTTCTTATCTGGATTGAGCCATCCCATGTGCATCAATATTGTAGGTTACAATGAGAGGCTCTCAGGGGCACGCTGGAACAGTGCCAATGTCTATGCGACATGACCCTATGGCCGCTGCCGCTGAAGCGATTGTGTTATTAGAAAGTTTATGTAAACATCCTCAAGATTTTCTGTCTTTTGATGGCCATTGTAAAAGTTTCTCAATGGAATCACTTTCAACTTCACTAGTTTGTACTGTTGGAGAGATATCAACCTGGCCAAGTGCAAGCAATGTCATTCCAGGCCAGGCAAGAAGTTCATCTCTCGACACTGCTTAATTCCCAGCCTGCTCAAATGGGGTTAATTGTCATTCAATTGTCAAAATATGTAACGAAAATGAGCTTCTTGATTCCAGGTAACGTTCACCGTAGATTTGCGCACTATAGATGATATGGGACGTGAAGCTGTTGTTTATGAATTTTCTAACCGAATGTATCAAATATGTGATAAACGTTCAGTTTCTTGTACAATTGATCGTAAGGTGAGGGACATTTGTATCCTAGTCCATCATTTTGCAGGCTGCTTAACCTTATACTTATATGCCTTGTATTTTTTCAGCATGATGCAGATGCAGTCATTTGTGATTCTGAGTTGAGTTCAAAGCTAAAGTCTGCAACTTATATCGGACTCAAGAGAATGACAGGTGCCCCCATTCAGGATGAAGTTCCTGTTTTGATGAGCGGAGCAGGACATGATGCAATGGCTCTGTCTCATTTAACTAAGGTTTGTTTTCACTTTCCAGATGAATCATAAACCATGTTATTGTTTGTGTTGATCACCTTGTGAAAAATTCTGGCCTGCAAAATTTGGAGCAGGTGGGAATGCTTTTCGTGCGCTGTCGAGGAGGCGTAAGTCACTCCCCTGAAGAGCATGTATTGGATGATGATGTTTGGGCGTCTGGTTTGGCAATTTTGGCATTCATAGAGACTCAGATGTGAAGTGGAGAATTTGTTGACATTAGTGTACAGTAGTAGAACATCTTAATAATGTAGTATATGATGATATTTGCCATTTTGTGTATAGTTTTTTCCTGCTATTATGGGATCATATGCTCTGCAATTTGAAGCCCCTGCAACCATGATTTTCACTTGCCACTTCACTATAGAAATGAGGATAAATATTTCCTTTCAAATATATACTGATATGTCAAATTTGGATATGGATTCCAGAGGTTCACCTTCGCCACATGACCAGTGCGGTTGGTGCACAAAATCCCTTCCCATTGATAGCAATTGCCGCCCAGCCCAGAGGAATCCTTAAAGATCCTGTTTAAAACTAAGAAGTGCACTTCTCTCTTCCTTGATGCATATTTTCACACTAGTGATTAGAACTCCATCACCCAAACAGAAACATAAGTTACTACTAGTGTGTATATATGAAGATGCCAAAAGCAAAAGGAGCAAAAAGTGAGAAATATTAAGAGGCTTAAAGTTTGAATACAAAATATCCATGATACAAATCAAGCTTTCTCAATTTGTTTGTTGTAGCATGGCTACTAATCAGTAAGTGAACTAATTTATATATAATAGGGTAGGGTGTCCAATGGTGCTGAATTTTCTGAATTGATGTAAATATTAAACTTAATGTTAAGTGTACTTTGTTATTACTATTAGGAGATGCATCAATGGCTCATAGTCAATGAGCTTACATGAGTGTCGAGTCAAGCATCAACAACTTACAGTCACCACGCACAAGCGCGAAAGCTGAACCTAGAATGAGAACTACATTTGCTTTTTGAGCTATGGGATTCTTAATAAAAAACCGAAAGAAAAAAATGTAGGCTACAAATCAGCATTAGCTTCCACAAATCAGCAAAAAATGCAGCATGTATCATGCGGCTTAAGCAAACTGTGAATTAGATGGGATGGAAATTAGGTGGTGAGAGACTCTTCAAATTTTGATGAGGTAAATGCACCAATAGTTTCATAAATAAAAGCATCTCTTTTTAATTAAGATAGACAAGAGTGTAAAAGAGAAAAAACAAATGTCACGATACCATCCTAATTCTTTTGATTTATTTTATCGACGACAAGTGCATATTACATTAGTTACGATAGAAAGAAGCACACATGCATATTGTCTTTTTTTTCTTTTTCCATTGTTTTGACAATCTCGACATCATTAGAGAAATTTATTGAAGAAATAAAAGAGTAACACCTAGAAGGGACGACAAGAACCAAAGCCCCTCGTGTGAGACCCAAAACACAAAGTGAGGAAAGCACACTAATACAAAACACGCTAAACCAAATAAAAAACTATCAATCTCAAAATATAGAAAATTAGATTAAAAGCCAAAAGTATTAGGGTTTATTATGAATAACCCACATATTTAAAATTTTCAATGTAAACCCATTGGCCATCTTTCCACATCATCAAATTTACCATATTGAGCTGATGAGTCACCGATATTTATGGTTATAATAATCAATATTTGTGCCTCTTGCAGTTTTTTTGTTGTCAATCCCTAATCTTTATTACATTTTGATTTCCCACATACGGAGGCTAGCTAGGGTCATTGGCTTCCCACATATGGAGGCTAGCTAGGGTCATTTGGTTCCCAAAACATCCTCTCCTCCTACCCTTGCGGAGGCTGCGGCTGTCAGAGAAGGTATTAGGTTTGCTCTATATATGGAGTGTATGTTCAAAATTCAAATTCAGAATTTGGGACTAACAAATGCATCAAATTAAGCACTTTTAATTGTATACAAAAATAAAGTGCTTTTAATTTGTTTCCATTATTTATCTTAAAGGGCAAAATAGTCATAAAAACTAAGTAATAAATAAAAATTAGGTTTTTATTCTATAACTATAATAGGAGGGTTTTTCCCAACACTTTGGTCATTAGCTCTCGCATGAGCGCTTTCTTAACTTGACATGTACCATGCGGCTTAAGCAAACTGTGAATAAAATGGAATGGAATTTTTTTTTTTTTTGAGGTGAGACCCAAGGGTATCCACTGCCGACAGCAGTGACTAATCCCTTTCGCCGCGGGAGCTCTCCCAATGGGATGGAAATTAGGTGGTGAGAGACTCTTCAAAATTTGATGAGGTAAACGCACCAATAGTTTCGTAAATAGAAGTATCTCTTTTTAACTTCATTTCTTATAAGATAGCCAAGAGTGAAAAGAAAAAAAAAATAAATGTCAATATACCATCCTAGTTCCTTTGATTTATTTTATTGACGGCAAGTGCATGTTAAATTAGTTACGATAGAAAGAAGCACACATGCTTAGTGTTATTGTGTTTTTTTTTTCCCTTTGTTTTGACAATCTTGACAGCACGAGAGAAATTTATTGATGAAACAAAATAGTACACCTAGAAGGGACGACAAGAAGCAAAGCCTCTCACGAGAGACCCAAAATACAAAGTGCGTAAAGCACACTAATACAAAACACGCCAAACCAAATAAAAAAAACTAGCAAAAGCAACAATTTAAAAGCTAAGACAAGTTCCAAAAGTAACTTTCAGCAGCAACAGGAGGACCAGTAGCCCACCAGAACACACATGCACATTTTTGTTTTCTCTTCGTATCACAATCTCCCTTGCCAACGAGCTACTTTCAATCCAATTGTTAATGCTACCTTCTCTTTGACATTGTCAAAGAAATTAAAATAGGCATACCTCCATGACTCTTTTAGGACCAACGTTCCACAAACAGCCCAAAAGCCTATGATGAAACCAAGTGCCATGCTGACGTAAAACCAAAACCCTTCCTTATCATCTTTACTGTGATCTTCTGCCGGAAAAGTTTGTCCTGTTTTTGTGTCATCTGTAGGGCATACAGTTGAAAGAGGAGCCCCACACAGTGACGGATTGTGTTCATAAATAGATGGATCATCGAGGGTTTGGAGTTGGTTTCCGGAAGGTATTTTTCCAATCAAGTTGTTGTGAGATAAGTTCAAGTGAGATAGGGAGGTTAAAGAAGAAAAGTTTTGAGGGATATGTCCTGAAAGCTGGTTATGTGAGAGATCAAGAGTTTCAAGCCAGCGTAATTTTCCGATGCTTGAAGGAATCTCTCCAGTTAATCGATTCATCGACAAGTTCAACATACTTAATTCAAGCAGACTGCCTACTTGTTCAGGGATTTCACCTGCAAAATTGTTTGACGAAAGATCAATCATGTTTCCCCACCCGGCTAACTTGTCATCCCCATATTCGAGCTCTTTCCCTTTTGACGTTATTGTTGTTTTTCCATAATAGTCGCCATAGAAGGTGAAACCTTGGCATGCATCATTAACTTCGACTAGACAAGTCATATTTTTTAGACACTTAGGAATGGTCCCTGAAAAGTTGTTGTGAGCAAGGTCTAGGACTTGAAGGTGTGGAAGATTGCAGAAATGGTGAGGGATATGCCCGCTTAAAAGGTTGGATTGCAGTTGTAACACTTCCAAGGTGGATACGTTTGATCCAATCCATAAAGGTAGGTTCCCAGTGAATTTGTTGCCTCCAAGATTAAGTATGATCAAAGAAGTGCAATTTTGTAAGGAAAAAGGAATCTCACCACTAAAATTATTATTATTCACCTTAAATGTTCTAAGAGAACATGGCATACCCATTGAACTCGGAATATTACCAGAAAGATTGTTGTGTGAGACATCAATAATGCGTATTGTACTCCGCAAACTCCACTGTTGAGGGAATTCTCCAAATAGTTGATTGTGTCTTAGCGAAATGACTTCCATATCCTTCATGTTGCAAATAGAGAGTGGAATAGTACCATTCAAATGATTCTCAGAAACAACCAAATATCCCAATTTGGGCATCAATTGGTCTAAATTGGAGGGAATTGGACCGGAAAATAAATTGCTTTGAAGATCAAGGGAGAAGACATTAGTGGGCCAAAGTGGAAGTGGGCCTTCCAATTGATTATGACCCAAATTGATATACTGTAGGTTTGGAAACTTCAATTCTAATGGAAGCCTTCCACTTAAGTTGTTGTAAGATAAATCCAAATATTTGACTTGGGAAGATATCTTCGACAACCATTCCTTTGGTATGGAATCCGAGATGAAAGTATTACTAAGGCTGACATCTACTAGTTCAGTCTGAGATTGAAGCATTATCCAAAAACCGGGACCCACTTTGCAGTGAATGATATGAAGGTTGTGGAGCTTGAAAGGAGGAACCCAATCATAAGCCACGTTCAAAATGGGGCACATGGGCTTCTCTATTTCATCCTTGAAAATTCGAAGATCTTTTAATCTTGTGAGATTTGTGAAATGGGCTTCCGTTAGAAAGCCTTCACATGAATTCCAAGAAAGATGTAGTGTAACTAGCTCGGAGAGTTTTCCCAAACTTTCCGGAATGGAGCCGTTCCTATAGCTACCAAAGACCTCCAATGTTTGCAAGGATGATAAGTTTCCAATAGATTCTGGAATTGAACCCCAAAGTAAAAGCAACGAAAGGTGTAGATGCTTCAAACTTTTTAACATTCCTAAGGAGGCCGGCAGTTGGCCTTCCAGCCCACAATAAGACAGATCTAGTGATTCTAATGCTATTGTATTATTTGGATAATTTGACAAGCTCCAAAAAAACTCTTCAATTTTCTCACCAGAAAATTGGTTCCCCCTAAGACTTAAAAACTTCAATTTGGACATATTTCCAATGACTCTGGGAATTCGACCTTTGAGGCCCAAATAAGATAAATCTAGGTATTCCAGAGATTTGAGGCTTGCAAGTTCACCAGGAAAAGGACCACTGAAAGAATTCCAGCTTAGATCAAGTTTTCTAAGGCTGGTAAGATTGAAAAGCCAGTTGGGAAATGAAGAAGTATTGAAGAAATTATTTGACAGTTCAAGGACCGAAAGTGAAGTGAAGTTAATCTTCTGTAGTGATAGTGGAACTTTTGCGCTTTCCACCAAGCAATCAGATAAGTGTAACTCCAATAAGGAAGGAAACATGTTAACATGGTGCAGCAAATTTGTAACTCCTACCACTACTAAAAAAACTCACACTACCTACTGATTATGATTTGTCCCCTAAGTTGATTTTTGAGACAATTATTTGTCTCCACTAGCAATAGAGACTATGCAGCCACCATTGTCTTCAAGTTTGATAAGTTACCAATAGAAGGGGGAATCTCTCCTGAAAATGATGCAGACGATATATTGAGATACCTCAGACTTTTAAGCTCCCCAAAGAACTTAGGGATGTGAATCCCATCAAAATCATTGTAGCTTAGATCCAGATAATTTAAATATTTCAAGCTAAGCAAAGAAGGATTTATCTTACCCCCCAAGCAAGACTGGTTATAAGCCAACTGATCCCACGCAAGATCTTCATTCATCAAATCATCATATTCATATATCAAATATGGATATGGATTCCGGAGGTTCAGCTTGGCCACTTGACCGGTGTGGTTGGTGTATGAAATCCCTTCCCATTGACAGCAATCGAGACTCACCCAAGAAGAAAGCCTTCCAGAGGGATCCTTGAGATCCTGTTTAAAACTGAGAAGCGCACTTCTCTCTTCCTTGATGCATGATCTCACACTACTAGTGCTTGGAACTCCATCAACCAAGCAGAAACAGAAGTTACTGCTAGTATGCATATATGAAGATGCCAAAAACAAAAAGAGCAAAAAGTGAGAAATATAGAGAGGGTTGAATAAGTTTGAATACAAAGTATCCATGATGCAAATAAAGTTTCTCTCAATTTGGTTGTTGCAGACGACTACTCAATGAGTGAACTCATATATAGGAGGCAAGGCAAGGAGCGTGTAAAAATTTATCTAAACGTCTTCTACAAGGTTGCAAGTCAATGATTATTTAACTAGAGAACATTAACCAACGTGTTCTACAAGTTTGCAAGCATTTTTTCCTATCACTTTAACCCATCACTATCATTATCATCTTTGCTGTTAGACCTGCAAAGAACGTGAAAGATGGGCAAGACTTCTCCATCACGTGGTGGAAGTCCTTGACCTAAGTGTCATTGCATTATCTTTAAGGACGCGTTTGGTATTTATGAGTGGATTGGATTTGATGATCATTAAATTCAGGATATGTTATCGATGCTAATGTCTAGATTTTTTTCCCAATGTGTCCCACCCAGCAATTGCAAAGAATGTTAATCGATGACTTTCTTATTCATTGTCTCTATCCATGACGTTCTTATTCATTGTTTGATCCTTGTGCATTTCCAATTCTTGAAAATTCAAAATCGCTAGAATTGTATCCACTTTGGAAGACCACATGTCTTGCAATATGTTTTTGTTTTTGTATCCATGGAGCTGCTCCTTCTCATTTGGTCCATCATTTTATCTTACATTTACTCTCTCTCTCAAAAGACGTTTAAGCCTCTTTAAAATCTACCTCTCATTATTATAGTGAAGGGGAATGCTAGCATGTGTCATTCCTTTGTCATGGGGAATGCTAGTATGTGAAAATAAAAGTATTTTGGACCACCAAATTGGCATTATCTCTCACCAATATGGTACTTGCTTGTGATAACTGCATAATGTGAATAAGATGGAATGGAAATTAGGTGGTAAGAGGCTCATCAAAATTCTATGATAAACTAGAAAAGAAAAAGAGATTTCAAGGCATTAGCTTGATCACATCAAAGATTTCTTTACATAGCTCTTAATTTAGTGTAACATCCCGGTCCAAAAAAGAAATAAAATAATTAAATTAAGAGGAAATAAATTGGAATAAACAATAAAATAAAATGATTTGAATTAATTAAGGTTTTTGAAAATTAAAATATTATTTAATATAAAAAGGGGTAAAAAGGTCATTTTAAGTTCGGGAAGGAATTTGGGAATTTTATTTGTACTGGTGCGTAGAGCACGTCGAAACGAGTCCGTAGAGACGTAGTGGGCTCGGATCGGAGTTATAACGAGAAAAGTACGATCTAAATACTCCGAGGGGTAAAATCGTAATTTAGAAAAATCAGATTTTTAAAAATCTGATTCTCCTTCTCTCTCTCTCCCTCACGATCTCTCCCTCTCGCTCTGCAAAAACAGACCCCCCCCCTTTTGGATGGCAGCAACTTCTCTCCTCCACTGCCGCCACCACACGCCTCCACTTGGGGCGGCACCGGTCCCAAAAGGACCACCACCCTTCCCTCTTCCAGTTCCGGTCCATCACCGACCCGATCAGCCGCTGTGGTCGCCGGAAACAGCCACGAAACAGGCGGCTTTTGACAGATTTTTCGGAA